AAGGCATCCAGATTGGTAAAGAAGAAGTTAAACTGTCACTATTTGCAGATGACATGATATTGTACATAAAAAACCCTAAAGACTCCAGTCCAAAAGTACTAGAACTTATGTCAGAATTCAGCAAAGTTGCAGGATACAAAATTCACACACAGAAATCTGTGGCTTTCCTATACACTAACAATGAACTAATAGAAAGAGAAATCAGGAAAACAATTCCATTCACAATTGCATCAAAAAGAATAAAATACCTAGGAATAAACCTGACCAAGGAAGTGAAAGACATATACCCTGAAAACTATAAGACACTCTTAAGAGAAATTTAAGAGGACACTAACAAATGGAAACTCATCCCATGCTCTTGGCTAGGAAGAATTAATATAATCAAAATGGCCATCCTGTACAATGCAATATACATATTTGATGCAATGCCCATCAAATTACCAACAGCCTTCTTCAACGACCTGGAACAAATAGTTCAAAAATTCATATGGAAACACCAAATACCCCAAATAGCCAAAGCAACCCTGAGAAGGAAGAATAAAGTGTGTGTGTGTGTGTGGGGGGGTGGATCTTGCTCGCCAACTTCGCGTTCTACTAAAAAGCCACAGTAGTCAAGACAATTTGGTACTGGCACAAGAACAGAGCCAAAGACCAGTGGAACAGAATAGAGACTCCAGACATTAACCCAAACATATATGGTCAATTAATAAATGATAAAGGAGCCATGGACATACAATGGGAAAATGAAATTCTCTTCAACAGATGTTGCTGGCAAAACTGGACAGCTACATGTAAGAGAATAAAACTGGATCACTATCTAATCCCATACACAAAAGTAAATTTGAAATGGATCAAAGACCTGAATGTGAGTCATGAAATCATAAAACTCTTTAAAAAAAACATAGGCAAAAATCTCTTGGACATAAACATTAGCGACCTCTTCATGATCGTATCTCCCCAAGCAAGGAAAACAAAAGCAAAAATGAACGAGTGGGACTGTATCAAGCTGAAAAGCTTCTGTACAGCAAAGGACACCATCAATAGAACAAAAAGGTATCCTACAGTATGGGAGAATATATTCATAAATGACAGATCTGATAAAGGCTTGACATTCAAAATATATTTGCATCTCAACAAACAAAAAGCAAATAATTCAATTAAAAAATGGGCAGAGTAACTGAACAGACAGTGCTCCAAAAAAGAAATTCATATGGTCAGCAGACACATGAAAAGATGCTCCACATCGCTAGTCATCAGATAAATGCAAATTAAAACCAAAATGCGATATCACCTCACACCAGTAAGGATGGCTACCATCCAAAGGACAAACAACAACAAATGTTGGCGAAGTTGTGGAGAAAGGGGAACCCTCCTACACTGCTGGTGGGAATGTAAATTAGTTCAAACATTGTGGAAAGCAGTGTGGAGGTTCCTCAAAATGCTCAAAATAAACTTACCATTTGATCCAGTAATTCCCCTTCTAGGAATTTACCCTAAGAATATAGCACTCCAGTTTGAAAAAGACAAATGCACCCCTATGTTTCTTGCAGCACTATTTACAATAGCCAAGAAATGGAAGCAACCTAGGTGTCCATCAGTAGATGAATGGATAAATAAGATGTTGTACATATACACAATGGAATATTTATTATTCAGCCATCAGAAGAAAACAAATCCTACAATTTGCAACATGGATGTAGCTAAAGGGTACTATGCTCAGTGAAATAAGCCACAAGCGGAGAAAGACAAATATGAAATGATTTCACTCATCTGTAGAGTATAAGAACAAAGGAAAAACTGAAGGAACAAAACAGCAGCAGAATCACAGAACCCAAGAATGAACTAACAGTTACCAAAGGGAAAGAGACTGGGGAGATTGTGAGGGTAGGGAGGAATAATGGTGGGGAAGAAGAAGGGGGGTATTAAGATTAGCATGTATAATGTGGGGGTTAGGGGAAAGGGGAGGGCTGTGCAACACAGAGAAGACAAGTAGTGATTCTACAACATCTTGCCATGCTGATGGACAGTGACTGTAATGGGGTTTGTGGGGGGGACTTGGTGTAGGGGAGAGCCTAGTAAACATAATGTTCTTCATGTAATTGTAGATTAATGATAACAAAAAAAGGGGGGGGGGAATTACTCCCTGATAGGATAAAATTAACTGCAAATCAACGATTAATGCATGCTTCACATACCCTTAATTTTAATCTTTTAAAGGGTGTTGGATGATCAGCTATGGAAGTACATTTTTTCTGATAATATTTCTTTCTCTTAAAAAAAAGCAGTTCCTGTGTGGTGGTCTCCAATAGGTTTTTCACAATGGTATAAAGGTCATATCAAAGTATGGGTAAAGGGTTTGTTTGTGTTTATACAGAGGATCAAAGCCTAATTTGGCTACCCAGAAAAATGAATTAAGATACGATATGAAGAACTTCCAACATCAACATCCTCTGGAAGAGTCACTCCAGAAGATGATTTTCAAAAAACTTCAACAAAGATCCTGGCACTGTTGCAGTTGTAGCTGCATTCATCCCACTGGTTCCTGGACTTGCCGTTGGAATGAAGAGGGAGATATCTAAGCTGGCCTGTGCATACAGCAAAACAACAAATTTGACTGGTTCTATATTGCTGGAACTCAACAAAGAATTAGGAGAAGTGCAGTTGCAGTCCTTCAAAATCATGCTACTATAGACTATCTATTGTTAAAAGAAGATATGGGATGTGAACAGTTTCCAGGAATGTTTCTCAAACTATTCTAATTCGGTTAGACAATATTCATCATATTGATAAGTTTTCACAAATGCCTAGGATACCTAACTGGTTTTCTTGGTTTAACTGGATATGGCTGGTAATTGCAGGTCTACTTTTGTTATGTATCTGTATTCCTATTCTGTTAATGTGTGTACACAATTTAATTAGTAGTTTGTTAAAACCTATACATGCTTATGTTACTCTACAAGAAGTTATGTCAAAGAAATAATCAATCTTCCCATGCTTTCTTCCGTCTGCTACTTCTATAGCTTTTCTTCTTCCTTCCTAATTACAGCCCTTTGGTAGAATTCGTTCCTCGTATTGAAAATTACTGAGTATCATAATTCTTCCAAGTGGTAAAGATACCTCGGACAAATGCTGGGCATAGAAGCCACAGGGCATAAATCTGCAAAGAAGTAAAAAGCTAACCTTTTCAAATAATATTGCTTCTCTCTCACTTGCCAACTTTACATTTCCTGTATGGCCCTGGAAGATGGCTGGTTAGCCAGAGACGGGTTAGATTCCTCAAGGGAGGAACAACCTAAGACAGGCACAGTCGCAGTGGGGCCATCAGGTGAGAAATTGGGAATCAACAGAGGTGAGGCTTAGAACCTCACCCCCCATTTTGAGAGAAATCTTCTGCATCCGTGGATGTTTTGTTGCCCTTGTCTAGCTTGGATTAATACTTAGTCTATAGGCACAGACCTGATCATCTACATTTGCCCTCTTACAGCACTAGATTATGCTTTCTATCTTTATCTTGCATCTACCTACCACTTCAGCATTTTATTTAAAAAAAATAAGGGAGAAACGTGGGATTCACATATAAATCAAGTATAAAAATCAAATGAATAATCATATCTGACTTGATTATTTATAGTTCATGATGCGTGATCAAAACTGAAAGTTTCTGTGATATGACTGCCCTTGCACTGTTCACCGTGTAAGAACTTATTCACTGTGTAAGAACTTGTTCATTATGCTTCAGAAGATTGGAGACTGTTGAGATTTAGGCTTGGGGTTGATTAATGATTGTACATTGAGTTCCCTATACAGAAGTTTATTGTTGTTAACAACCATTTGATCAATAAATATGAGAGATGCCCTCTCAAAAAAAAAAATATGACCATGTGGACACATTGCTGGGGCCCCTCCCAAAGCCTTGCAAAGGGCAAATGTCCACCATTTTGGAGAAAGTTAAGTAAGCCAGCATGGAGCCATAAGATGAAATATTATACAGCCAGGAAAAATAATCTTTTTGAACTTAAGCGTAAGCTCATCATAATAAAAAGGTGGATTGAAGAAAGTTAGAAATTTAGATTAAATAAAAGCATCATATTCCTACTACCCAGAAGTTATGACTGTTAATACCTTAGACTATATCCTTCCAGATTTTGAAATATTTTGATGACAGTTTGAACTGTACATAAACATTGCAAAGTGAAAAAATCAGCACAGTTGTATCTATAATGATACAGAGTGGTAATGTATACACTGAAAAGTATTAAAGTGAAATATACCAAAGTGGTAACTGGGCTTATTTGCAGATTATAGGCATAGGGCATTTTTATTTTTTTAAGTCCTCTATTGTCTACAGCAGGCACACAGACTTTTATAGTCATAAGAAAATGAATCATTTTAGGAAGTAATTACAGTTATTTCAAAAGTAAGATGTGATTGTGAGGGTATGTAAAATCCAATAAACAGCTTATTTTATGTCCAATGATTATGTAGCCTTATGTTGCTTCAGGTTCTCCCTCTCAAAAAACAAAAAAAATCTAACCAGAAAAAAAAAAATTGAGACATTGCCTAGAACAGTGCATTTGAGGACAATAAAGAGCTGTCTAAAATAATATAGAAATACATATATTTCAAATTTTACTCAAGAATATATTTGATATATTCCAGATATATATTGATCTATATATAGACTTTTAAAAAACCATATATTTATATACAAAAAATATTAACAATTAGAAAACAGCTTATAGCATAAAAATCACTTTTACAACAATTGTTTCAGAAGTCTTCACAATCATATGAGATAGTTATTTTTTAAAATTCTGCTTTGCTGAAAAACTGAATCTCAGAAAGATGAAGTGGTCTGTCCATTAACAATATGTCTATTAATGGTCCATTTATACCTTTGGATTTCAGTGTTCCTTCTTCAAGATAGTATCATTCCTTAATCTACCTCCTGCCCATTCTCCTATAATTCCAGATTATTTAGCAAATTAACATGACCCAATCTTATTTTAAATATGATGTTTATTATATATTAAATAACTATAAATGCATATAGAAAGTAATTTTGTCATTTCCTAAACTTGACTGATTTCTAGAAGACTGACATATTTGTGACAGGGTGACTTTTCTAGAATTACAATATTTCTGTTAAATTCTCCTTCTAGACATTGAAGTTACCACAAAGGAGCATAAGAATAAGCCAAGATTCAAAATTTGTGTAAAACATGTTAGGTAATGTCCAGCAATCGATTGATGTTTGTTGGTGATGAAAAGATCAGTGTATTGTAACTATATAGAAAAATATATCATGGATGGTTCAATTATGGCATTGGTACTTTAAAGTAAATTTAATTAAAAATGTTAATTAATTAGAAAAATCCTTGATAACAAAAGTAAAAAGTAGATGGATTGCTTGTCAGTTTGCCTGAATTTTAAAACCCAGCATTCTTCATCCTCCTTCAGTAGAGGTAACCAAGGATACATTAAACTAATTAGTATGTTGTGAACAAAGCTGTAAGTTTGAGTTTACTAATTTTCTACCAATCTTTTAACAGAATCCTGGTTTTCTTTGGAGGGAAGTCAGTGGTCACCTAAGCCTGGTGCATTTCTTCTTGTTGTAATGACACCCTCAGCTTCTCCTTTCCTAAGGGCTAACGTAAAAACTATGGATTCTTGAACTGCCACTACAAGTTTACAAGCAAGAGTGTCTAGTACACAGAAAAGGCAAAATCAAAGTAAATATCAGGTGAGCAAAGTGTTGGTCACCACTCATACATTTTAAACTTTTATTGAATAGATTACACCTCAAAAATTGAATGGATAATTGGAAATGCTGGCCTTTGAAGTTCAGAGAACAGGATTGGAATTGGATGCTCTAGGTCAGATATCTGTGGAAGATTAATACCCTGGAAAAGATCCCTACTGTATCCATGTCCTCAAACCCAGCAACGAAAGATGTGGGATGCTGTATGTCATTATGTACATTTTATGTAGCCTAACCCAGACCACTAAGATGCCATGTCTCAGACCTACCCAAGACAGTAGAGTTAAAGGGTACCAGTTCTAAACTCTGGCCAGAAAGAAATGTTTCACGATCTGCAGAGACAGAAAGCGTCCTGCAGAGGGCCATATTCCATATCATCAGTAAATGGGAGATGAAATACAGAGCTCTACTGTGGAAGCACAAGTTCATAATCATGCTCAGGGGTACAGGAATAAGGCCTCATTTCACAAGTCAACCTGAGAAGTGCGTACTCTGTCTCTGGACTTTCTCTAAACAGCCTCACTGCCCTTGAGGCTGGGTCGATGTTTTCATAGCCTTCTTCATTGGAACTCAGGGAGGGCCTCCGATAGGGGCCATGGTTAATGACTGTGTAGCACACATCTTCGGGACCACCATCACTCTCATTTTTCTGCCAAGAACAAGGAAAAAAGAAAGGAGGGATACAGGATCATTCATCAAATCTTAGCTCAGTACCCCACCACTCCTTCCTTCCTTCCTTGTTTATGATGATCTGACACCTCAGTAGCCAAAGGCCTTTCTCAAAGCCCTTATGTCTTAAGAGACCTCATTTTATCAATATGTTCTGTGCTCCAAGCTACTAGTCATTCTGCTTTTTTTAGCTTCAAATAGTAGAAGAGAAAAAGGACACTATTATCCCTCTGAATATCTAAAGAAAAGCAGTTGCATACTTGAGGTTAACCATATTCAAACACAATATATGCAATAATCAGACTTCAATTAATCCAGTTACATAACAATAAATTTCCTTAAGATAAAGTACAATTAATGAAATTTAGACTTTAAATACACTTGCAGTTGCATAGACTGTGAAAGAAAAAACATCAAGATACTACATACTAATTAAAATCAGTAAAATGCTTGTGATACAGTATTAAAAGGAACAGATACTTTTTCATATGTTTATTGATTTCTACCATGTCTGTAAATATAAATGCTAATTCCTGGACACAAGGATTGGAAAGGAATGATGAAAGCTAAAAAGAATTGATGTTTTATTCTTGTTGATCACATTATAAATACTAATTTACCTGTTTTCATTTATTTTTATAATATTTTCAAAACTTAAAATATTAGACTTTACTAGAATTGGGACAACAAAAATTTACTAGTCATCTAAAACAGTTACAATAATTTTAATTTTTAAAAGTTATTTCAAGTTCTGCATTACCAAGAAAATTATTTTAAAAATTAAGAAATTAAAAGACCTCCAGCTACCCTTAAATAGTTATCTGTATTTTGACATTTATCAGACAAATGTAATGAATTTTTTATTACCTGATTAGAAGTGGGTGAATATTCTTTATCTGAAGGATAAAAAAGAAAAATAAAATAACCTAAGATTTTTTGGATTATCACAAATTGGGGAAAAAGACAAAAAGGATACAATGCAGTGGTGAAACTGCAAAGAGGCCAACTCTCTAAACATCTCATATTACTTCATGTTATTATGGCAGTACTCAAGGCCAAATGACAAGATCAGGAAAAATAATGCCCTGAGGCATCATCAATACTGTGTTTCTGTGTGAGTGATGTGCCCTAAATCTGTAAATATTTTGTAATTGGGTAGTAAAATTTTGTTCACAAATATGCTATGACAATAAAGCATGACAAGTATAAAGAAAGAATTATTATAGTTGCAAACATTCTAAAATAAATTCTCTAAAAATGTCATGAGAAAATCATATAATTTTTTATTGAAGTATAGTTGACATAATATATTAGTTTTTGGTGCACAACATCGTGATTTTGACATTTACATACATTACAAAATGCTCACCATGATAAGTAAGGTTACCATCTGTCAACAACACAAAGTTATTGCAATACTATTAACTACGTTCCCTATTCTGTATTTTTCACTCCATGACATATTTCATTACTGAAGGCTTGTAAATCTTGATCCTCCTCTTCACCTATTTTGCCTATCCCCTCTTCTCCTCTGTCTGACAAACACCAGATTGTTCTCTGTATTTATGAGTTTGTTTCTGCTTTTTTGTTTGTCCATTTATTTTCTTTTTTAGATTCTACATATAAGTGAAATCATTTATCTGCCTGGCTTATTTCAAATACCCCCTAGGTCCATCCATGTTGTTGCAAATAGCAAGATTTCATCCTTTTTATGGCTAATATTCCTTTGTGTATATGTATCCATTCATCAATTGATGGACACTTTGGTTGCTTCCGTATCATGGCCATTGCAAATAATGCTTCAATAAACAAAGGGGTGCATATAACTTTTCCAATTAGTGACTTTGTCTTCTGGTAAATCTCCAGAAGTGAAATTGCTGAATCATGTATTATTTCTATTTTTAATTTCTTGAGAAACCTTTATACTGCACTAATTTACAATCCTACCAACAATGCACAAGGGTCCCCTTTTCTCCACATCTTCACCAACACTTGTTATTTCTTCTCTTGTTGATAGTGGCCATTCTGATTGATATATGAGGGGATAGCTCAGTGTGGTTTTGATTTGTATTGCCCTGATGATTAGTGATGCTGAGAATCTTTTCATGTATCTATTGGCTGTATGTATTCCCAGAAAATATCTATCCAGTCCTCTGCTCATTTTTTAATTGGATTATTTGTTTTTTATGTGTTGAGTTATATGAGTCCAATATGTATTTTGGATATTAACCACTTTTAGGATATATCATTAGCCAATATGTTCTCCCATATAGGTTGCCTTTTTATTTGTTGTTGATTTTCTTTGTTGTGCTTTTTATTTGATATAGTCCCACTTGTTTATTTTTGCTTTGTTTTCATTGCCTGGGGAAACGTATCCAGAAATTACTAGGTTTGATATAAAGACTTTACTACCTGTTTTCTTTTATGAGTTTTATGTTTTCAGGTGTTATATTTAGAGTTTAACTCATTTAGTGTTTATTTTTGTGTATGGTGTAAGAAAGCAGTTGTTTCATTCTTTCGGATGAAGCTGTCCATTTAGGAAAATCATATAATTTTTATAGATGCACAATTATTTTAGAGAAAGTTACTGAAATAACAAGTAACTATTTCAAATTAAAAACAAATATACAGATTAAGGTTCATTACATCTATGAATACTGAAGCAAATTACATATGTGTTACAAATATGAAACTCCCTGCTAATATTTTTAATAAACAAGCTAGAATTAGAGAGGCCATAGAATACTAAATAAGGTAAAAAATTCCAATTATAAGAGGAAAATTGACCAATTCTGAAATCTAAAACTTAATAAGTTAAATAGTTATTCTTAGCAAAATCTTAGAATACATTAAATAAAGGGAACAGATTATGTAAAACAGTATGTTAATAATTTCTAGTAGCTCACCATTCTTCACAAATTAAAAGTCACCTTCAATGCACTAATTTCAAACATGGGATGCTACATATGTTCATATAATCACATATCTTTATAAGTGTAGTCATGTGTAATAATTAAACAAATACTTCCATTTTAATGTTTTATACTCATAAACTGAGGGAGTTATATAGCTTAATACTCAGTTATAGCATTGGAGACAACAGTTTGGAGAATCAAGTTTCAATATGAAGGCCTTGAAATAATCATAATATTAGATGAAGTGGTTGCCACCAATGGTATGAAGATGTTAAAATACTTAGAATAAGCATAATTAGTCTCAAATCAAAAACATGGAACATGCCAGGACTGTGCTCATGACCCACTGAATTGGTATACAGAGTCGCTGTGTTATTTGATGTTAGGGCATTGATTGGAAAAGAATATGAGTCCTAAAGTCAGAATGGGAGCATCTGAGAATTTCTGATGGCTGCCGTTACCCTGAGTCCCAACCTCCAAGTTTCCCATGTCAGAGGAAACACTCCTTCTGCTAATGAGGCTCTTTCTTGATTGAAAACTCTGGGGAAGTCATCTTGCATAGCCAACAACTGTGTCTTACCAATAACACACATTGTATTTTCAAGCTGAAAATAAAAATCAGACCCAAGAATGCCTGTGAAATGGGGGAGATTATATCAGAAAGGAATATTTACCCTACCAAAATTATCAAATCAAGCAAACAAGCAACACAAGAGTATGAATTTAGCAATGCAGTGTTGTCAGAGTACATTCTGTGAATCTTAGAATAGGGAAACATGTATATTTTATGGAATTGATGATTGAGTGGAATGTCTTGATATTGATGCACTTACCAGAGGGTCTGGGCTAATATTACAGTGCAGAGTTAGAGCACATCTAGTCATTAATTAGAGCGGCTGTCTAGAAACTGATCTCAATAAGGGTCTCTATAAAGCAACATTGGTGTGTTAGTTTGTATTAGTCATCCATTGCTGCTGTAACATATCACCAGAAAGCTTAAAACAACTCACATTTATTATCTTACACTTCTGAAAATCAGAAGTCCAAAATGAGCCTTAGTGGGCTAAAATCAAGGTGTTGACATGGCTGCTGGAGGCTCTTAGGGAAGACTCTATTACTTAGTATTTTCCAATGTTTACAGGCTCCCCTCATTCATAGGATCACAGCCTCATCCATCTTCAGTGACAGCAAAGTTAAAACAGCAAAATGGTTGTTAAAGGATTTGCCCTGCTGCATTATTGTGATAATGTCTCTTCCGTTTCTGTCTTCCGCTTTTGAATGACCTTTTTGTTTACATTTTGCTCACCCAGATAATCCAAGTTACTCTTCCCACCCAAGATCTTTGACTTAATCATGTCTACAAAGACCTCTTGTCATGTGGAAAGTAATGCAACAGATTCAAACTTGGATAACTTTTGGGTCCTGTATTCTGCTTATCACACATGTATTCCCTGTTATAAATAAAACAGGAACATATCTAAAGATTTAGAAGTATAAAAATATTAGTGACTGTATTAATGTAACCTGTACATCCATCCCCCAACACCCCATACAATGGCAAAGAAAACCTTTTCCCAAATCCATGTGATAATATACTGGAGAGTAACACATTGTTTTCTGAAATTCCAGTGTAACTTGCTATTTGGTAAATCTAGTAGCCCTGTTATGATCTGTAAGATATTAGTAGACTACAACGTCTTCTCAGTTCAACCCAATAATTGTGACTGAACTACAACAGTTGGTAACAGGAGTCGTTGAAAGCAGTAAACTACAAAAAGTATGAGAATCTGGTCTTATTACATCACCTGGTTTATTTTAGAGGCAAAGGGGATTACATCAGTATTAAAATACACAAGTGGTCGCACAACACATATGGCAATGTTAAAGTCACTCACAGCTTAGAATTTGCCTGTGGCCACATGATGGAAGAGACCAATAGATCATCATGGGAAGAATTAAGAATATAAAGACTGATCTATGATCCAGGGCACATAAACAGAGAACATGACGCAATCATGACTTTAAACTTGTGATTCCCGAGCTCCTCAAAGGATCAAGGAAATTGCTTTGAAACAATCTCCTTTGTACTTGGCCCACTAATCAGAGTAGAGGAAAACCTTTTATCTTGTGTCTATTTCACAATAGGTTGGAAGGGTCCCTTACACACATCTTGTGAATTTCACAACTTGAAAACAGGGTGAAATTGATATGTTGGCCAAATGGCAACATCATCACATGGATTTTCCAAAACTGCTCTGGTATCTTGGTCCAAATAGAAGGTAAACAGGCAAATAGCAGTATTTCCCTAAGAAAAGCAGGAAAATATTTATTTGAATATTGAAAAGATACAGAGGTGGTGATTTTGATCACCTCCCACATTTAATTTCCCTTTCTGACCTGTATAGATGACTGGGTCTTGGACATTGTCACAGATTTAATTAGATGGCAACTTCAATTGCATTTACTGATGTAAATGGCATCTATTTCCTTGACTACACTACTACAATGGCAGACATCTGACATAAGTCTGTTTTCACATAGAGACACCAGGACAGCTACACTGTGTATCTAAAGAATTTATCATATTTTTCTCTGTCAAAATCTGCTTTGCAGGAACTTTGAACATGCCTTATATGCACAGGACCTAACAATGTTTCTACCGCATGGAGAGCACGATGCTGCTAGGTCCTGATGAGCCAGGATTAGGAGGCAGCCTATGTTACTTTAGGGACATAGAATGCCTAAGGAAAACGAGGAGGACTGACTGCTCACCAGTGAAGTTTCTTGGCACTTAGTACTGTGAATTATTTCAGGATGACACCATCCAGGTAAACTTGTATCTTCTCCTCCTGTAAATGCAGCACAAAATCTGACGGGCCTCTTAGAATTTGAATAAGACATATACTTGTTGGAGTTGGGCCCAGAGAGAAATATAGACATTCATGTGATAGAGGTTTCATAAAATACAAAATTTGACTCCACAAAAATATTAATGAGATGAATAGACTCTAGCAAAACTTACATAATAGATGAAAAGTGTACATGCTTACACATACGCACACACAGAAACAATGTTAGGAATGAGCAAGAGGGCATCACCATAGATTCTGCAAACATTTAATATAGACAAGGACATGATGAACATTTTTAAGCTTAGCACTTTGAATTTGAATTGAAAAGGATAAATGTGATGAGAAATATAACTTATAAAGCTGACAAAATGAAGCAGAAAATAAGAATAGTCATAACTATAAAAGCATTTGCATCTGTATATGAAAAAGATAGTTCTTCACAATGAATGTCATCTCCTGTAGATGGATTCACCAGAAAATTCTACCAAAAATTAGAAAAAGAAAAAAGATCAATCACACATGTATTCTTCAAGAGAGGAGAAAAACTCCAAGGCTGGATGACTTGGGAGCACCAGCATTTTAGCTGTACCCAAGAAAGGACAAGGTCAGAAAACAGGTGGCTGTGGCTGAGGACCCAAACAGAACAGTGTGGGGTCAAAAAAATAAAGGAATAATATCAGGAGGGAGATTTTGAGCAATACTCATAAGTACTAGGGAAAGGGAATTGAGACTAAGATTGACAATTGTCCCTCACAGTCCATAGTAGTTACATTTGGGCAGAAACACTCGACCTTGAAAATGGCCCACAGTTAAAATATATTTTATGCCACAGTTTAGTATAACCATACACATATACATACGTACAAATAATTGTCTTATAACAATTTTATGTGCATTACACACCATGATGCTCTCAAAGTATGCCAATCTCTTTGTGGCCATGACATGTTTGGTGGAATAAATACATTTATTTTGTACCCCACAGGATATGCTCAGGGGAGCTGGAAGTGGCACTGGGAGTAAGCTATGGTGAGCTGAGAGGTTATTCAGGAATGCTAATTCCAAATAGTGAGGCTGACCAATTCTTTCCAGAGGCTTGGCTATAAGTTGAGAAGACAGTTGAAGCAACAGTGATAAGAAAAAGTGAGTTTCCTTCAGGGATGCCTGCCCTCAGGGACTGAATATTGCTATTCATAATTGTCCATTTTGAAATAATTACTACACTAAGACACTATGTCAAACAGAGCAAATGACTGAGAAAAAAATACATGTAACACTGGCTAATATTCAAAACAATATGTTGAACATAAATTAATTAAAATCAGTAGCATTTTGGTTAATTGCTTCCCATAGAAGTTTATGAAATATTGCTCAAAATAAATGCTATAGAGATATTACTGTAATACCAAGAATTAGGAAATCAGTTTTGTGAGACAAAAATGGGAAAGACTAAGACATCCCTTTAAGGATTCTGGCTGTATTTCCTCCAGTCTTGTCTAACATGGTATCAGAACATCAGCTAATTTGGATGTTTGTATTTACAACTTCCCCAGCATTAAAAATACTATGAAGCAAGACTTACTTTTCTTATCTTGATCTTGATTTTCTTTCTCAAATGTAGTCATTTCCTGCCTATAAAGGAAAGAGATAATAACATGAGACTCTCCATTTCTCTGACCCTGAAAATGCACTTAGATTTATTTCATTGCTTTCAAGCTAAGATCACTCCTAGATTTACAAATCAAAGGTTAAGTAAAATTGAAAGCCTGCTAATTCTAGCTTTTTCAGAAAAAAACAGAAAATATCATTAACAACAACTGAAATTTTCTAGAAGAGTAGAATTTAAATGTTCTCATGAAGAATGTAAATGTTTGAGGTGATGGATATACTAATTAACACAACAATGGGAAGAATCCTTTCTCAAAGTATACATAGATAAAGGCATCAAATACTTAACATATCTTAAAATTGTATTTGTCAATTAAACCTCAATAAAAATGTTTTAAAAAAACATAGCAGAAAAAAATATAGAAGCAGAGTGAAAAATGAAGGCTAAAACTCTGTATTTTATGAAATTTAAGGGATTACTAGATTATGAGACTATATTGCCCCATGTATGAAGAATTTATCTGCAATTGAGTGAAATTTGGAGCAATTCAAAGAAAAAGATTGAAAGTCAATTTATTCTTTTGCTGTTCTTGCTGAGAGAGTATATATATTTAAAGGTAAATGACAAGGTCCTAGTGATAAGGAAAAATTTACAAGGACAGCAGTCCAGTCCAGGTGGCCCCCTTCCGCTGCTCTTCTGAGCAAAGGCAACAGAAGCTCCCTCAGCAACCTTCCCCTTCACTCCCCGCTCTGCCAGGCACTCACTCCCTAAGCTCACTCCCTGAACTCACTCCCCCTTGCTTGCTCATTTGCTGTGCATGTAGAAATGTTGCAGATACAGAAGCAGAAAGATATAAATTGCTCCCCTTGCCTTTGTTTGGGGCTCAGACCTTGGGAGATTACTCCCCTCTGAGCCCGCCAGTGTGAAATAAACCTCAACACTCCAAGACCACTGAGTGCCACTTGGTTCTCCCATCAGTGGTCCAGTCCAGGTTTTTCCAGTATTTTCCATAACATTTAGTTCCCTGACTGGGAAACCCAACTCACTGGCCCATTGTTGCCACCGGTTTGGGGCAATAGCAGGGCGGTGATGGCACAGGAGATCCCAGCAGAGAAGGTGCACACGGCCTTATCTTTCCACAGTCTCGCGCCCAGGCGCCCTGGGCCGGCCTCGCTCCACTGTTCCCGCTGCACTCAAGGAGACTTGGCAGGTGAGGACCTGGTTCTGACGTCGAATCCGGAAAGGCCCCACAGCCTCTGAGCCAGCCAGTCCCACCCGTTGGGGTGGAAGGGGAGCCTGATCATCTCTTGGAGACTTCCTAGAAGTCTCACAGGTAGACAGTTCCAGGGGGGAATGTTTAAACTCTGGTCTGAGTGTGTGAGTGAGTGTGCAGGGCAGCTGAAGCCATTCAGTCTGCACTGTATCTGTGACTCCATGGCCTGTGCTACAGATCCTGCGTGGGTCCTCATCTGCATTCGCGGTCTACCGCCACAACATATCAGTGATTCAGCTTCGGCTGACCTGGCCCAGGACTTATACGGGTGCACCTTAGTCAAGGATCACGAAAGCCTCTGCAAGGAGCAAAATGGACAGATATCTGACGGGTCTCCTCTCTAGAAGAGGCACCCCTCCCCTGTCTGTTGTCGTGGCACCGTTACATGGACACGTCAGGGGTCAGGGCACAGCAAACCCAGAGTTCTCAACATGATCAAAAATTTCAGGAAGGGATTTTCAAAAGACTATGGATTAAAATTAACTCCCAGCAGGTTAAAAACCCTGTGTGAATCTTAATAGCCCACCTTTAGTACAGGATGGCCTCCAGAAGGGGCCCTAGATATCCCAACAGTCCGCCAGGTCTGGCGGGTCATTCACAGGAGATCCAGGTCATCCCAACCGGTTCCCATACACTGACTCCCGCTTAGGAGTTGCCCAGTCCCTCCCCCTTGGGTGCGGTTTGCTTGGAACAGGCAGGGACAGGGTAGGGTCTTAGTTGCCTCAACAAAGCAGCCCTCAAAGAATCAACAGAAGCCTGAGCCTCTGCAAATTCTTGCTGGTGATCCAGAGGAAGAGCCAGTATTGCCCCCACCTTATGCGCCCCTAAGGCCATCAGCACCCAGCCCGCCGGTCCCGCTAACTCCAGAACCAGTGAACCCACTCTCCCCCAGACCAGCAGCCAGACTGCACTCACAGCCAGGAGCAGTCGCCCTTCAGAAGCTGGTGCAAGAGATGCAGGAGCCTGAAAGGCGTAATAAGTATGGGACCATCCAGCCCAGCCAGTCCATGTTTTACTATCAACCCTTCTCCACAACTGACACCTGTCAGAAAAGCCACAAGTCCTGGTTGATCTCATGGAATCCCTCTTGTGAATCCATCAGCCGACCTAAAAAAAAACTGTCAACAGTTTCTCTGCACCCTGTTCACAATGGAAGAGAGGAGGCAGCCAGGGTCCTTGGTCAGGGTGCATGGGCTGAAATTGCTGTCCCCGAGGAGCACCCCAAGTGGGACTTCACCACCCCTGAGGGACAGCACCAGATCCACCCATATCAGGATGCCCTCCTCCAGGGGATCAAAGCAGGGTCCAAAAAGCCTATGAACATGACCAAAGTCTCTTCACTCACTCAACAACCAGGAGAGTCTCCCGGGGACTATCATGAAAGACTGTGTGAAGCTTATCGGGTCTACACCCCCTTCAGTCCTGAGTCACCAGGGAGCCCACAAATGGTCAACACCTCATTGGTAGCTCGAGCCGCACCTGACATCAGAAAAAAAATTCCAAAAACTTGAAGGCTTTGCCAGGATGAATATCATGCAGCTGATTAAAATTGCCAACAAACTATATCTAAACAGAGATGTTCAGGTTGACAGAGAGGCTGAAAGAGAAATGAAGAAAAAAGCCAGCCTCTTAGCAGCCACCGTAAAAGAAAGAAAGATGAGCAAAAGGCAGAGAAAAGGTGACCACCAAGAGTGGGGAGGCCTAGGACCCCCCCAGCCAGGGACCAGTGTGTTTATTGTGACAAGAAGGGGCACTGGAAAAAACAAGTGCCCCAACTGAGGGAAGGCCCTGAAGCCCAGCTGCTACTGGGAGGAGCCTCACGGGGAAGGGCTCACTGGCCTGCAGGAGCAGACTCAGATTGACAAGGCCTGGGCTCTCTCGCACTCGGCCCCCATGAGCCCATGGTCAGAATGAAAGTGGGGGGTCAAAACATGACTTTTATGGTTGACAGAGGGACAGAACACTCTGTGGTCACCCTCCCTGTAACTGCCTTCAGTGAAAAGACTGCAACCATTCTCAGAGCCACAAAGACAGCGGCAGTACCCCCCTCTCACAAGAGGCGAGAGCAGGCATCCAGGAATACCTGATCAGACTCAGAGAGCCAGGCATTCTAACCGAGTGTCAGTCGCCCTGGAACACCCTGCTTCTACCAGGCAAAAGGACAGGAGGAGAGCACCGGCCTGTTCAAGACCTGCGAGCCAGTAACAAGGTGACTGTTTCTTTACACCCGGTGGTCCCAAATCCATACACCCTCCTCAGCCAGATCCCGGAGTCTGCCAAATGGTTCACTTGCTCAGACTTAAGGATACCTTTTTCTGCCTCTGGCTGGTCTGCCATAGCCAGCTCTTGCTTGCCTTTTAATGGACTGAAACACATACAGGGCAGCAGATGCAGTCAACATGGACGTGGCTTCCACAAGAGTTCAAGAACTCACCCACTTTCTTTGGAGAGGCATTGGCTGCAGACCTTGCCAGCTTTCTGAGGGATGCCACATGCTGAGCCCTCCTGCAGTATGTAGATGACCTCCTCCTTGCCAGTGACACCCAGGAAAATTGTACGAAAGGCACAAAGGCTCTCCTGCAGCTCCTGTCAGACTCAGGATATGGAGCCTTATAGAAAAGAGCACAAATCTACCAGCCGTGAGTCCGGTACTTGGGCTTCCTCCTCACCCAGGGAGAAAGGGCGCTAGAGACAGAGAGGTAAAAAGGTCATTAAATCCTTACCCCAGCCCAGGACATGGGGTGGGGGGTGCATACGAGAATTCCTGGGGGCCACTGGGTTCTGCAGAACCTGGATTCCTGGATTCTCAGCAATGGCAAAACCCTTCTACAGCCTCCAAGGGGGGCCAGCCTGAAAGCCCCCTGTCTGGACAAAAGAGGAAAGACCCACCTTCCTAGAAATAAATCTGCTTCAGAAAAGGCATCAGCCCTAGGCCTGCCAGATATAAAAAGGCCCTTCAATCTCTTCACACATAAAAATGTAGCAATTCTGCATTGCAAAGAACATCAAAAAGAAAAAAAACCTATAGCACAGGGGAACCAGCTAGCAGATAAAGCAGCTAAAACAGCGACCAGTAAAAAACTAAAGCTCCTTCCCTCACTATGGCCCTAACACCCCCAGTGGAGGCCCCTCCACCCAAGCACACTAAAAAAAAGAAAAGGACTGCGCCATACCTGAAGGAGCCACCCTAACTAAAAAATTTAAAAAAAGCAATACTACATCACTCAGTTGCCAGCATTATGCCTAGCAGTAAGTGAGCAGTGCATGACTTGTGCCAGAAATAATGCTCCATCTGCACCACGACCCCCGCCCAGTGTCCAAAGAGCAGGAGGTGCCCCGTTTGATGACCTTGAGAGACTTCACGGACGTCCAGCCAAGCAGAGGGCTCAGATACTTCCTAGTGACAGTGTGTACATACTCTGGTGGGTTGAAGCCTTCCCAACCAGGACAGAACAAAGCCGGGAGGTAGCCAAAGTCCTCCTGAGAAAAATTGTGCCACAGTTTAGCCTACCGTCTACAATTCACAGTGACAATGGGCCTGCCTTTGTAGCAGATGCAGTAAATTTCTCAACAGTACCTGAAAACTACACACTGCATACAGGCCACAAAGTTTAGGGAAAGTAGAGTGAATGAATCACACCCTCAAAGCAACCCTAGCTAAATTTTGCCAAGAAACTGGCCTCCCATGGCCGGACCCATTGCCCGGCCCTCCTGCATGCTCACTGTGCACCTGGGACTCAAGGCCTTCCC